ACAGCAAGGGTTTCATTTGTGCATGCAGATTGAAAAAGTTAACCAAGTGCTTGTACTAAAGTTGCAGGACAAAGGAGCAGTTTACAAAGTAATAATTGGTCTCAGATTTTTTGGAGCTGTTGTCAAAAACCAATGAAACAAGAGTGAAGGTGTCAGTTTTTTAGACACTGCAGAGAGAAGCAACCATCGATAAATGTCTTACTGACAAAGATTCATATGTCATCCGATAGGAGGTCTTTTTATCCTCAACAGCTTTATAGCTTATAGATTCATGCAAACTGAAGTGCACACATGCCAGTGCAATTTTATATATTTTTTTCCCCCACTTTGAGCCACTGAGGACAAACACAGAAACAGTGTCTTCATTTGTTTGAGATTTCTTTCCAGCTTCACTTTGGCAGGCCGTCAGAGGCTCATGTCCATTTCCCACAGCAGTTATCAGTCTGATGGAAACCGAGTCCAGGGAGGATCGTCAGTTGGCTATTCACAAGACATCGAAATAGTCTAACCAAAGATATCTGGAAGTATTTACAAAGTTGGATAATTAGATCAGTGGCTTTAGGCTGCAGTGGAAAATATTCACAGTATAATGTAATGACAGAGAAAAGAAAAGAAACGGCTGGACGAGCGCTCACAGAACATGGGCACACAGTGCACCAGATCGGGTTAATACCACACATCTTAAGATAATTAGAGAATGGAAAGGCATTTTTATATTGCCTTCTGTGTTTCCCCCCACATGCTTCCTCCAGCAAATGATTAATTTAGAGTTCAGGAATGCGTGTTCACTGTTTAGTCTTCAGCCTCCCTGGGTTGTAACCCCTGACCCAACCAGATCCCCAGAACACCTCTGAAAACCATCAGACATCTGCTTATCTAAACAATAGAGCGTACAAGTACCAGGACCAGCCTCCTCATCTCCATCCATCCTTTCCTCCAGCAGAAGCCAAACTCCACTAACGGGAGATTTCTTTTTCGTCAGTGCAGACTCAAACAGACTGGACAGGCATTTCCTGTGGGTGGGACCAGAGAGCAGGGACATTCTTGGGCCAGGCACCTCTACTTCCTGTCTCTGTTAACACCACACTGAAAGACGTCTGGACCTGCTTTTTCTTTACACTTTCCTTGACGCTCTTATCCACTGGTGGATTAAGTTTAAATTCCAACATAACTTAAACAATTGTGAGAAGTGTGAGGTCAAAGTCTCAGTGCTCTGATAATGGAGGGAACAAAACAATCACGTGAACTTAATGTTATTATCTGAGACAAAGATGTGCTAGGAAAAGAGTTAAGATATGTATTCTCATGTATGTGCACATGCATGTTTATGTCTACTATAAGGGGCGTTGGAATAGGTGTGACAATCAATTGTTGCCCTCCCAGGGGTCAACAGCTGCACCGAAGTGTTGGTATTCAACAGCTGGACCCTTTTAGGAATGTGGGGGTTTACTTTACATGGTGTGTGTTGGTGTTGTAGATGAAATCCATACACATGTGATAATTAGCTGTAAGATGAAGATGTACATGAGACGTTGATTAAAGTGATGATAGCACCATTCGCTAGCTGTTACACTGGTCCTGTTTGAGAGATTTCCTATTTTCTTAACCGATATTAATAAGGTGACATTACAGGTAATGGAAGTTAGATTTCAGGTTGCATAAGCGGCGTGAGTGTTTGGGATTTTAGGCACTAGTGATATATAATTTCCATTTGATACCAACTCATGCTTGTTCCCTTAATTCTAATTTCTTACTAATGTGTAAATGTCTGAATCAACAATGTGCAGTAGGAATAAAATAAATGTTATTTGTGTTTTACAAAGAATGGCATGTGAACAGATTAGATATGGAATTTAAAGTTACAAATAAATATATGTGGTATTATACATTCTTTCATCTCTGCCTGACACAAAAAGCACAGATGATCTGAAATCAGGTTTGTGGTGTATTTGTGTGTGTTTTCTGCCCTCTAGTGGCGTATTGTGAACAAGACAACTCCTCACAAATCAGATAAAAACTTGCAACCAACACATTTATTAAGAGACAAACCACACGGAAACTTTTTACATGGTGATTAATGAACAAATTCTAAATGTGTTTAAGGAGATCAGGCTCCACCACCCATCCACTTTGGTCCTCAAACAGTTTTACAGTGCTAATACATCATTAAAGGTGCTTTCTATTGTTTCTCACAGAGGGAATACAGAAGTTCAATCTGCTCAGCATACTCGAATCCCGGCCTGTGGGTAAAAGACATAACAGTCATGTTAAAAACCATATTGTCATCGATATCCATCAGTCTATTAACCAGAAAACATAACTCTGTCATCTAGTTGTCAACAGACAATGCACTCTTCTCAATTACATTCTCATTTTGTAAATTAGTAAAGACATGTTTTAGATTTCCAGTGTAAGGACTATCTTTATCTATTGTCTCTGCACTCATCCCACCGTCCAGGTGTCTCCAGTATCAGAGGGATGTTGTCCAGTCTGGGCTCATTGACAATGTCCCGGAAAGCAGAGATTCCGATGTGGCCTTTGCCGATATCTTCGTGCCGATCGAGGTTGCAGCCGAGTTTACCTACATGAAGAAGAAAAAAAGAATACACAGCAGAGTTGATGTAAATATATATAAATTAACAAATAGTCTGACTAATCTGTGTATGTGGTGTGTGAATTTATGCTAAGGATACCAGCTAGGTGAATCTATCTGTCTGTCTATTGTGTGAAAGTCCTGGCTGCACCTTTGGAGTCATTGAGATGAATGGCTCTAAGGTAGTTGAGCCCCACTTCCTGATCAAACTCGTCAAGCATGGCCTTCACTCCTCCCTCTGCTGCCAGGTCATATCCTACAAAAAAAACAACAACACAAAAATAAAACAACACTTATGGCAGCTAATGGCAGCTTTAATATTTCATGGCTTTATATGCTTCTCCTCCATATCAACAAAAGCCTTGTTTTGAGCTTGGATATCAAGCAAGTTTATACTATGATGAACCAGAAGTAAATAGTTTTGTTACAATTAAAACGCAGACTGTGTGATTAATGACTGGAGAGGAAAATGGTGCTTTTGATTTTGTGGGACAAAAGATCAACCTCATGTTTCACTCACCTGCTGCAAAGGCGTGACAGGTGTCCAGACACACTCCCACTCTGGTCTGGTCTCTAACTTTGTCTATGATGCTCTTCAGCTCAGAGAACTTCCCGCCCACTGTACTTCCCTGACCGCTCATGTTCTCCAACACTGACCACAAGGAAAAGAAGGCACCATCAGTTAGATGTACCCATGATTCAACCCATCTGCTCCCACACCCGATACACATGCTGAATTGGTTTTGCTGCCCGTGTTCATTCCTGATGCACAGCCTGAGGGCAGGTTTTGCTACTGCTTCAATGTGTTTGCAGGCATTCCACTGCAGTGTATTCCTGTCACACCAGCGGCATTTGGGGTATGTGAGTCAAAAGGACGGTGCTCTGTGCCATGAATCACAAGTAATGCAACACCAGTGTCAAGCCTGCAGTCAGTTCTGTAAATTGAAAGGAACGTATTACCACAAAAGTCAGTCTGAATTCAAACTGTTTTGTGTGAGATGATGACGTACACATTTTTTTGATAACCGACTTGTGGTAGTGAAATCCGTAACAAGGTCAAAAATATATTGGAGCCCAGTTTCATTAGTTACATGCAAACAGATTAACCCACCAATTGTGATTTTAGTAACACCAGATTTAAATTTGTCAATACCAATACATCTGACAAAAGCTCATAATATCTGGAAATTGTTAAGATGGTGTTTGTGTTACTTTGTCCACCCCTTGTACCTGTAACCACAGCAGGTGTTTGCTGGTGAGCGTGGTTAATAGATCCTGCTATCTTGTCCACACACTGTTCAGTGGTGATGGAGCCCAAGGAGGAGCCAGGGTGGAAGTTGTAGAGGCTGAGGCCTAGGACGCTGCAGCGGCTGAGCTCGTCTACCAGCAGGGCCTGGCTCTTCTCAAACACATCTGGATGCAACATGGTACACAAACCAGATGAGGTTGTCAGAAGAAAAGAAAAGAGAAGAGAAGAGGAGATGCAGCTGGAAAGGGCAGATTACTGAGTGTGAGAGAGCGTGGGAGAACAGTCAAGGACAGAATCATGCAGGAGACATCCATCAGTGTCTGACAAACCCTCTTTAGGAGATCCACAGTTCATCAGGTAGGACCCATGAGGCAGGATGTGAGCTGGGTCAAACTCCTGTAAGGAACATTGCTCCCGAAACTTGGCTGCAGCTGTAGGGTCCAGTGCAGGCCTCTTCCATGACCGCTGGGAGCCCAGAAACAGGGCGAAGCTGCTGCCACCCATCTCTGAGCAGGACTCCACGGCTTTCCATATCCCACCTGGGGGCATATAAAAGAGACAGTATGAGAACAGTGTTTGTTTTAGTTAGGGAGTCTAACAAGATGGCATTACCTTGGATGCCAACATGAGCTCCAATGTATTTCTTGTTTCCACGGTCCTTCCTCCTCTTGTCTGCTCTCTCCACAGCTTCCTCCTTCTCTCCCTCCAAAGCCTCCTCAGTTTTCCTTTTCGTTGCTCCTCTCTTTCTCGGACCCATTGCTATCCAAAACAAGTCATGAGCAGCAGTAATAACGAATTTGCAAATCTCTCTCAAAATGGTTTTCTGTTTATAACTTCAAATATGCGTTTTGTGAGGGGGGGCTGTTCTCATGCGCAACATGCACAGCGGTGCTAAGTTTGACTGTCAAAAGTTTATGAAGGTCAAAATGTGTGTTTTATGCATCCCTCCCGGTCGGAGCCAGCCAGTCAGAGGACTTCCACGCAGCTGCCACAGGCTGGCCTTTGGAGACGCTTCATGCCGAGCAGCAAAATGGCCGCCCGTCAACCGACTGACTCCACAGCGCTTTGAAATTTAAATTCTTCTGCACATTAGGGTTTACACTATTACAACGGTAGTACTTATTTACAAACCAGTAGCTTGTTACGCGTGTATTTCCATCATCTCCCACTTACTTGACTCTCCGCTCAGGCGTCGCTGTTCTTGTAGCCTCGACGAATGCCTCAAAAAGCTAAAAAAAAAATCGCACTGAAGCACTTTAGCTAAGCTAGCTAGCACGCTAGCTTTTCTTCATATGTGATTCCTGAGGTGAGTAACGATAGCTGAGTACCTCTGAGCGTTTTAACGTTTTAATAATGTGTGTGCATGTAAAATGACTAAGTTACAACATATTGGCCAACGAGTTAACGTGCCAGCCAAGCTAACGCCGTTAGCCTGGCTACTTGTAGCTGCTGTGTGTAGGTAACAGGTTAGCTAACGCTCGATAGCATTAGCAGTGGTGTAGCTTCATTAGCGCGTTAGCTGAGGTGGATATGTGGCTCAAGGCTCGGTGTTATTTGCTGACCGTGGTGTGCACAGATCCCAGCAGTAATCAAACTTGCATTGGTTGACAGCTGGTTGATCTTGTTAACGTTAACTTGTTAATGTGCGCGTTAATCTGTGTCTGCGTATTTAAACGTAAGAAGAAAGCAGAGCGTTTTGCAGAAACCACTCCTTAATGTTAGCTATCGACGAAATATTTTACCAGCTGCTGCTCTTAAACTTGTCGCCTGTATCAGCTACAGCAGGAATTAAGGTGTTTGTCTATTCACCCCAACGCTAACTCGTTTGTGCACGGTTCAGGTCAGTAACTTTTTAATCAGCTGTGTCGATTATCGGGAAGGATTTTTCTCTCTCCCCCTCCTCCTCCTCCAATGTTAGCACAAGAAATCTTCTAATGCTGTAACGTAGGTAGCCAATAGCTAAATGCGGATGAGCTGGAAACGTTGACAGGACAACACAGGTACGGGAACATTAACTGGTGTGGTTTACATCACTTATTCTGAAGGGTAGCTGGTTGCAGATAGTGACAGCTCGTAATAACATTATAACCGGAGGGTCTGGCTTTCCGGATCCATTCAGGCCTGTGGTCAGAAATGCTTCAGGGGGGATGTCAGGTCTGTGAATATAGAAACTTGTTCTGCTGGAAGTGTTGTGGCATTAAGCAAAAACGAAACCAACTAAAACCAGACACCGCCGGGTCTTAGCAGTACAGTAAGTTTGTGCTTTTAAACCGTGTGTTCCCCTACTTTGTTTGTAATCGGACGATTTTTTATTTTCTTTTTAAGATGGTAACATGAGCTTAGATATCCTGTGGGGTTTCGACTATTTGGGCATATTTTAATGTACTCCTGCTTTAAATGTGTGCCTTCCTGGCCATATTACAGTAGAGCGACATTTTCTCAGCCTATTTGACTGTTAAAGCTTTAGTTAAATGAACAGTGAATGCCTGTAGTTGTGTGACCATCATATTAACATTACTAATGGGTTTTATTCAGGAGAAACCTAACCATGTAATGGCATTGCAGTCTGTTAATATTATGGTGTTTTATCAAAATGTTATGTGGATTTGTCCATAACAGCCTGCTCTATATTCCTGTATTGGGGATCCTAGTGACAATGCATTATTTGGTGTTCTCGTTGGCTTTCCTTGTCTCAAAGCTGTTAAAGAGCCTAATCTGGAAGATTTGCTTACACTCCATCTTAGGAACAATTAAAGCATAAGTCTCAGACCTTTTTAGTTGGTCACTTGTTATGGTTCCCATTGCCACCTGCAGATTCAGTCAGTCTGCTGACAAGATGAGTTGGCAGACTAAATCAAGCCACTTGTAAACGTCTAAATTGGTTGAACCTACCAGTGTGATCAGCTTACAGTATTCTGCATGCTCATGATGGGGATAATTAGTGTGTTTGTTGCCCACATGTCCAGCAGTATTCTTAGCTCTAGCACCTGATGGCTGATTCATCCAATCAAGCATGCGGTCCATTGTCACTTAAGCACATGGATGGAGGCTCACGTGGCCAATGTAGCAACTTTGATGCTTTCTTTTTACCTAGATTTTGTCTTAAGTCATCATTAACTCTTTGACAATGTTTTTTGAGCAGTTATTTACCTAACAGTGAAAAGCCACTGGCTTTACAAATAAGAACTTAGTGATTTTAAAATGGTGAATATGTGACTACATTTTGGATTATCCTACCTTTTTCCTCTAGCAGAAAGGAGTATCAGGACAGGAGCAGTAGTTCATGGAAGACAAGAAAAGGAAAAAAGACGAAAAAAGGAAAAGGGAAGCCTCCCAGAAGGTGAGCATGTTCACAATTACATACAAGCTCCTCCATCTGGGTTGGACACCCTTGAACAAACATGCTGCAGCACCTTGTTGACCAGTAGTTGAATAAGCTTTCAAAGCAAATCATATTTTGTTTTCTTTTTAGTATATTGTTGACATTTTACAGTTTTTGATTAGGAGTCCTATTTCTGTTTATTTCACATTTACATCTAACAAAAGTGATCCCATCACTCTCATGAGAGAGCTTCTCTTGGATGTAAATATTATGCCAATTGCAATAAAACGTGCTTAGGTAAACCTCAATCTGTGAATGACAACATTTGGAAACTTAACTCGACATGAAAAGGTACCTGATCCAGGCTCCTGACTTGCCCCCACTGGAGGCACATGTACCAACATGTAGACATTCATGTGGTAATATTTTGTGTGATGTCAAACATTTGTGTATTTATTATAATTCACCTTAAATTGTTGTTTTTTGGGGAAGGCTTAGTGATTGACCTTATCATTCTGAAATGGACTCACCTTTTGAACAAATCTCCAACATAATTTCTTAGTAAACAAGTTTGCATTGAACACAATTCTGAATGATTTCATTGACCCGGGAGCAGTTTTACGTTGCACTGTTTTGAAAATATGAAATGGAGCTAATGGCAGGAAGACCAAATCCTGACAGTCAACATTAATGTTTGTGTTACTTCTGTCAGCGTTAGGAGAATACTGTTAAGACATAGCATGTCTCAACAACTACAGGATCTTGAATTATTATATGTATTTATTATCCTGGCACTCCTAGACTTTTTTTCCTTTTTTTATTTAACCACAGTCATAGTTTAATTCCCGTAATCCCCAAGTTGTGTCCTGTTTTACGTATTCTTTTTCATCTTTGCTTAGCACATGTTGTACTGAGGTTTGACATTTGAATGAATGAAACAGATTGTTTTTTCATGCTTTTTACAGGATGAATTTGTAACTAATGTGTTTTTTCTGTTCATTTTAGGTCACAGAACAAAAAAACAAAGGTAAGCACCATAGTGACATATGTGTCTATGTTAAGATATAAATGTCAGGGGTTTGCTATTTTCTTCAAATGTCCTCTGACAATTTTGATCTTTGTTATCTTTAAGTTTTTTGTTTTAATGGATTGTGATAATGCTAATTGTCATCATTGTTGGATTTTACATTTGTGGCAGCACCATTCCTCTTGCATGGTAACCATCTTGATGGTAGATGACAAAATTCACTTCTTGTCTGTCTTATTTGATATTTTGCACAAGAAGGCCAAGAGCAGCTATCCTGAACCCAAAGCATCTTCTTCAAGGAGTTATTTGTAGCACCTTCCCTTTGCTTATCTACTTTATACCAACAATATGGTTAATGCTAAACATTTACAGAAAATTAATTGTGCAACAGTGGATTTTTCATTTTTTAACATTAATTTAATTCAAGTCTTCTAATTTTCTTCCCCTCCTGCAGTGCCAGACTTGACCAAGCCGGCGTCTGCCCAGTCTCCTGCCACTCAGAGCAGCTCTGCCTCCCCCAGCCCTGGACCCACCCCCTCTGCCTCCCCATCCCCAGCCACCTTGGGCCCTGGCAGTGCTGCCACCCCGTCACAGGGCGGCAACAATGCCAAGCGCCTGGCGGTGGCCAACGGACAGCCCACCTCCACCAACATTTCTTCCTCCACCGCTGGCGGCCCCAGTGCTGCTGGAAACGGCAGTACAAGTAGCGGAGGCGGAGCCCAGGCGCCTCAGCAGCAACCACGCTACATGCCGAGAGAAGTGCCGCCGCGATTCCGCTGCCAGCAGGACCATAAAGTGCTACTGAAGAGGGGTCAGCCGCCACTGTCCTCCATGCTGCTGGGAGGGGGAGGAGGAGGGGATGGCCCCAATGCAAACATGGCTGCTGTCTCAGGTAAGTGTTAACAATGCTGTAGTTCAGATTTAGAATAGATCCGGTCTATGTAAAGATTATTTATATAATTTCTTTAACGTCCCTTCCCTTTAACCCCTAAAGTCTCTCTTTTTTGGAATTTGCATTTTCAGATTCTGGTGCAGCTGCCTCCTCATTGGCCCTCACCTCATCATCAGTTGCTGCTTCTACTACTACTTCTAATTATGCAAATTCCATGTGGGGGGCGAGCTCAGGCAGCCAGGCCTCCTCTCAGGGCAGGGAGAAGGTGATTGTCGATGGCAATGACCTGGAGGAGTGGCCTAGCATTGCTGGCAGTGATGGGGTAGGAGCTTCTTTCACCGGGGCTGGAGGGGGCAGCAGCAACAACGGAATGCCTGTGAACAGCATCAGTGCCTCTGGCAACCAATCCTCACCCACTTCCTCGTTCTCTTTGCCCAATGAATGTATGCAGTCGTCTAATGGTGTGGTGTGGGGGATGGCTGCCTCCCAGGGTCATCTTGGAGGAGGGAATGCAGTAGCTGCAGCTGGGACTCTGCTACAACAGCCCTCCTCACTTTCCAAAGCCTCCGCTGTGCCAGGGAGCCATGATGCCAGTGGCCCCGTTGACGGCAGCAGTGGGATTCCAGGTGCCAATTTCAATCCAAATGCCAACCCTTCGGCCTGGCCTGCCCTGGTGCAGCAGGATGGGCCCGCTGCTGCAGGGGAAGGAGGCCCGTCTTCCTTCCATCACCAGGGCCCTGGAGGGTCTTTGTCTGCCAACAACTCTGCTTCCCTGGGGCTGGGAGGTGGGGCAGTCGGGGTGCTGGGGGGTCACCCACCTTTATCTGTGAATCAATCAAGCACCCATCAGCGCCAACTTCACCAAATGCAATCCAGAGACAGAGAGATGGGAGGGAAGTGGGACAGCGAATCAGTGGGACCAAAAATCGCAGGGGGGGAAGGGATTGGGGCAGGAATGGACCGTAGTGTGGGAGGAGGCGAGATGAGTGTGGGAGACCACAGCCTTGCCTCCTCATGGAGAAGCCAGCCTTCTTACCCTGCAGCTAACTCCAAAACGGGTGCCTCAAGGACTGATGGATGGGAGGGTGGAGGAGGTGGCACAGGGGGATTCGGAGCTGCTGAAGGAGATAATGGGACCTCGGGTTGGGGGTATCCGAGTTCTACTAGTGGGGTTACTGCTTGGGGCAGTGCTGGAACTGGTGGAAACAGTAGTCAAACCTCCGGGGTATCTCAGGGAGGGTGGGGGTCATCAGGAGTGGGAGGAGAGAGAGGGGTTTCTGGTGGTGATTGGGGTGGGAGCTCCACTGGTATTGGTGGAGCTAACCCAGGAGGTGAGGGAATGGGTGGAGCCTGCAGTAGTAACAGCAGCAGTAGTGGGGGCAGCACAGCTGGCAACCCCCCTGCCACCTCTTCCTCTTCTTCGACAGCCACAACTATGACCAGAGCTTGGGACAATCAGAAGGGAGAAGGTGAAACAGGGGAATGGGGTGGGGGAGGAGAAGGACAGGGAGCACAGGGAGGATCTTCGTCCAGTGGTGGAAATTCCAGAAGCGAGAGCGGGCCTAACAGCAGTCACAGTCGTCCTCGCCGCCCGGCACCTAATGCTGAAGCTGCCTTACAGAACCTGCTCAGTCGGTCTGATCTGGACCCTCGGGTCCTGTCCAACACAGGCTGGGGCCAAACACAGATCCGACAAAACACGACCTGGGACTTTGAAGAACGTGGAGGACAAAGTAAAGGTGGGTCATCATCAGCCACATCAAAACACCCATCTTCTCTTGGTGGTTCTTCTCAGTATTCTGGTGGACCTAGAACCCATATCCCGGATTCTATGGGTCCTGGTGCCAGTCCTTCCCTGGTTCCATCTGCTGGGTCCTCTGGAGAGGGATGGGAGAGCAGCAGCAACAGTAGCAGTAGTGGGGCATCTCTGTCTGGGCGAGCCCCACCACCTTCAGGCCCCAACATTAGGAATCTTGGCGTCTCACAATCTGGGCCAGTGACCACAACAGGACCTGGTATGGGGTCAGGTGTTATACCAGGACATAGCCAGCAAGGAAAGGCTACAGGCTGGGGTGGAGGGGGGGCTGGTGCTGGGGATGGCCAGGAGGCCAAGGGTTGGGGGAAAGAGGAATGGCGAGACAGTAGTAGAGGTGGAAATGGAGGAGGATGGGGTGATCTTGGGCAACAGGGTAACCCAGTGAGTGGAGGCTGGGGAGGCGGCCAGGAGGAGAAAGCAACAGGGGGATGGAAAGAAATGGGGGGAAATGGAGGAGGAAGTGGGTGGGGATCAGGACAGAAAGTGGGAGCAGGTAGGGACTGGGGAGAACAACAGTCCAAATCAAATAGTGGAGGAGGATGGGAGGATGAGAGGAAGAATGGAGGAAACTCAGGTGGGGATTCAGGTGTGGGTGGTTGGGGGAGCTGGGATGATGGTGCTCCCAGGAGGACCTGGGGAGCAGGGGGCACAGGGGGAGGTGGGAGTGGTGGAGGGGGGGTGGGTGTTGTTGGGGGCATGGGGTCTAAACCCCAGCAAAGTTGGAGTGGAGGAAACAAAATGCACCAGATGCCAAACAGCCAGTCGGGTTCCGTCACAGGCCCGCAGGCACAACTGCAACAGCAACAATCACAGCCCCGCAATCAGCATCCACAGCGACAGCAAGCGTTGGACCAAGGGGCTATGCAAGGGGGCGGGGGGAGGAAACCCATCTCTCAAGTCCAGAATCAGAACCAAAGCTCAGGCTGGACCTCTGGGCCCATCCCTGGTGGCTCCGGAGGAGGCGGAAGTGGATCTGAACCAAGCGGCTGGGAGGAACCCTCGCCGCAGTCTATAAGCAGGAAAAAAGAGATTGACGATGGAACATCAGCATGGGGAGACCCAACCCATTACAACTACAAGCCGGTCAACCTGTGGGATAAGAACAGTGCACCTGCTGGCCAACAGCCGCATGGCCAGGCTCAGGCTCAGGCTCAGGCTCAGGCTCAGGCTCAGGCTCAAGCTCAAGCTCAAGCTCAGGCTCAGGCTCAGGCTCAAGCTCAAGCTCAGGCTCAGGCTCAGGCTCAGGCTCAGCAGCAACAACAGCAACAACAGCAACAACAACAGCAACAACAACAACAGCAGCAACAGCAACAACAGCAGGGACCTCCTATACAGCAGCAGCCCAGCAGACAGGTGGCAGGGCTTGTGGGTAACAGAGACTTCACCACTGGCCATGGACCTGGAAAACCTTCTGCTATGGGTAGGACACCACAAACTTTGTATTTGATCCAAATATAGTCAAATTATATGCAGAAATAGAACATGTATAGGTATCTTATGGTAGGATATAATCACCAAAAATTAAGAATCATTGTGTTTTTGTAACATTAGAATGAGATGCTTTTATGTACAGCTTGTAAAAGGATAATGAGGCGAGCCCATTTCAGTCAGCAACTGCACTGCCAGATGCCACTAAATCCTAAACACTGGACCTTTAATTCATATACGGTGTTTGAATTTAGTGAATACATTGAATTTTGTTTAAAATTGTCATTAAAGATGAGAAAAAAACGCACTACTAGAACTTCTGCTTTTACGGGAATGGTTGATCTGCTGTTTGTAGGTTATGGGTTATAGTGTGAAGGTTTTGTGTATCAAAGTGACAACTGAGTCATGAGGGATGTAGTTGTTTTTCAGCAAGCCACCTGCTTGCTATCTCTGCAGTTTCATCTCAAAACCACATTAACAGTAGTCAGCCACAGCACTGTTACTTCAGTGTGTGCTCCAACTGAGCACAGCTGAGGTAAAAACTCATTTTCTGTATGTGAATATTCTCTGGGTAATACCGTGGCTGCAGAGAAGATGCTTTGATTTTGGATCAATTTGCCAGACCACATCAAACTAATAACTTGAAAAGAAAGCACATGTAAGGAAGAGAGTTGCTGTAGCCCTTTTGTTGAGCACTTCAAAAAACCCTGCAATTGCTAACCCCAGTAACCGTGCACACTGACTGTTCAGATGACATTAAACTATGTAAACAAAACTGTCTGCATGTTCAGAGTCTAGACATTGGACTTGTATTTAGGGAAATGGTTGTCCTTGCTCAGAGTCTCTACCAGGTTTCTCAAGCTCAGCCTTTATTGTCCATGTGTGTCTGCAGGTCCGTCAGGTTGGGGTGGTGCTTCTCCAACTAGTCCTACAGTAGACAATGGCACGGCAGCTTGGGGAAAGCCTACAGACGCCCCTACTGGCTGGGGAGACCCTGAAGATGCTGGAGGGAAGACATCGGGCTGGGGAAACCCTTCTCCCAACCCCATCAAATCTGGTTAGAAAATCTAATAAAAACTTAAGCATGTGTTTGAATTGAATCACAGCTGTTATCTGTGAGATATCCATATCATATTTTGTAAAATTGCATTTTGGACAATTGGCATGCTTAGGAGTCTACTAATAGAAAACCTAGAGACAGATTTCAATTTCAGATCTGTTCTCCTCTCCTGAAGGTTCAAAGTCTATGCAAGATGGCTGGGGAGACAAAGAGGGATCTGTGGCTGCTACGCGTCACTCAAGCTGGGAGGATGAGGAGGAGGGAGGTGGCATGTGGAACAGCGCCGGCTCCCAGGGAAGCGGCTCATCATGGGGACAGGGAAGCAATGGGGGCTGGGGACAGAGCCACGCTGGGAAGAAGCCCGGTAACAAGGTGGGTTACTGGTGGGGGAAAATAATCTTGATAATGGAAAAGCTGCTACTTAGCCACTATTTGTGGCATAGATATGGGTAGATATTGGTTCTATGAATTTGTCCCACTCTGAGAAGGTTAGGAAAAAAGCTTTCCACTGGTTTTATATGGTGCGATTATTGTATTTATCTGAATTATAATTTTTCTTACTTTGTGTATGTCTCTCAGGGTCCACTAAAGGCTGGCGTTGGAGACTCTTGGATGAGCCCCATCAACAGACAATTCTCTAACATGCTGCTGGTAAACATTTATTTTTACATCCGGCTAGAGTGTTATTGTGGAAGAGCAACGTCAAAAATATCCTCTTTTCTTGATGCTTTTTTTGTACCCAGACACTTATCATGATGATGATGATGTTAATGATGGTCATGGTTATGATGGTTGTCCTTTTCTCTTGCACAGAATGATGACCCCACTGGCCCAAACATTGACCTGGCTCCAGGTTCTCTCCAGGAGAAGAAGATGGATGTGGATAAAAGGGGCATGGGGATGAATGATTACAATGGAGATATGAGAAAGGGAGGAAGAGGAGGAGGGGGGATGGCTTATCGTCCTCCTGTTTCCAAAGAGGCAGCACCTGGGGATGCTGGGTCATACTATGACAAGGTAATGCCTCTCTGCCACCTTAGCAGTCTTTGTCTCGTATGTCTTTCTTTGTGTCTAGATAACATTTTGTCCTTTCTCTCTGTTCCTAATTTCCTCTTGTGGTGTCCTCCTGGTCTGCCCCATTTCTCCCTGTCTAACCCCCCACCCCCCTTCACCACCACTCAAATTGGCCTTCCATTGGCTGTCACTGTGACAGACCTTGCCTTTGACCAATCAGGATTGGTGCCTTGGGGAGGAGGGTCCTTGCTCTCTGTACTCACCACCCACTGTCTACAAGCCCCATTCCCTCTTCAACCACACTATCCCCTTTAGACAAGTAAGATAACCGCTCCTCCTGTTTCTGTCCTGCCATCTTTACATTGTAGTTTTCCTTTTTCGTAAAGATAATCATACAATTATACCCCCTAAATTTTCCTCGCCCAGTCTGTCATGTTCTGCTTAATCTGTATGTTTTTCATGTATGAGTCTCCACTGTTATTGGTCCTCTATGGTTTAATTTTCCATCTTCAATTACAGGGTGGTCACAGTATCTTTGGCAGTGGAGGAGGGATGGCTCAGTCAAGACACCAGCCAAGTGTCCCACCCATAAACCAGTCCCCGGGGATACGAGCGCAAGTGCCTCATCAGTTCCTGTCACCTCAGGTACTAATACTTTCATTCTCTGATTGGTATTCTTCCCAGCTGTCCACATATTTCAGATTTAGCAGTGATACGGGAAGTATGTGGGTTGACTGTAAAACAGTGTTTGTTTTGGTTGAGTCACCTTTACTTACTGCTGAGTAATCAATTAAATGCAGAATTTCAGCTGGTGTTATATCCGCTTGTATATCCAGGTCGTGCATGGGGTCAATTGTGTACTTGGTGTGAACTTTCTAACATAGTGTGTAATTGTGTGATTCTTTTTTTTCTGTGAGCTTACACAACATGGCCTGCTGGCTGTGTGCATGGCGTCTATCAGGCATTGTGGTCCCTAGATTGCATAATCACTCTTCATCTCGTCACTCTTCATCATGTTTCCCCGCTTACTTCTAAAGAATACAAAGTGAAACGTCTTTTCCAGGAATTGAATCAAATTTACTCATTCACTCACTTGGGTCGAGTCACTTGTTAACACCAGCTAATGAGAACATGAAAGAGAATCAATGTTAATTGGGGAGAAGCAGTAAGCTAATGTGGTTGCCAGTGGTTACAGCACCGAAGTGTTTCTGTGGTAACAGGTGTGCCTTCCTGCCGTTGTGTCTGTCTCCAGGTGCCAGGCTCTGTGCTGAAGCAGATGCCCCCTCCCAGCGGGAGCGTGGGGGGTGTTGGCGGCGTGGGAGGAGTGGCAGGATTGGGGGGAGGTGTGTTCCCTCCTCAGCTGTCCCCCCAGCATATTGCCATGCTGAGCAGCATCTACCCACCTCACATCCAGTTTCAGCTGGTGAGAGTCAGCACTATACATCTCAGAAACCACTGTTGGGTTCCATCACAGGTCTTCTGAGTCTGGAAACATCTGATGTGATTATTTCTTTATCCTAGGCAGTTTTTCTCAAAATATTAAGAAAAGAAAGAACATTTTAAAAATGCTTATCAATCAATAGACAAATGATTGTACATTGTGTATATACATATCCAGACACACCCGCAAACATATCCAGACACATCCTTAAAATCATATCAAACGATTAGGTAAAAAATATGGATTTTGAAAATTTAAACTGTTGTCACAATCAAGTCTTAAACTGCAAGTATTACAGCATTTTACACAAATGTATTTTCATGAAACAAACTTCTGCTACAGCTCTGACTCACTGACCAGATATTTAGATAATGATGATTACCTCCTATTGGAGCCAAAAATGTCACTGAGTCTACATAGCATTCAGTTGACAAATGAGTTTGTCAGTGTAAAGCTTGAAAATCGTTGTGCAGAGTGCGTTCTTCCCCCCCTGTTTTTTTTCACTGTTGCCACCTCACTCCTCCATTCTTTCTTTTTGTTTTGTTCTGTCTGTGTTCGTTCAGGCTTGTCAGCTCCTCCTCCAACAGCAGCAGCAGCCACAACAGCAGCAACAGCAGCTACTGCAAAACCAGAGGAAGTTCACACCAAACGTGCGGCAGCAGGCTGACCCTCAACAGGTACACACAAATACAACATATCACTCAATCCTTTGTCACTTTACTTTACTTCCTCCTCCCAGCTGCTGACTCTTGTTATGTATCTTGTCTCAGCTGGCCAGGATCATGGCAGTGCTCCAACAGCAAAGGCAGCAGCAGGTTGGGGGTTTAGGTGGCAGCTCCAAACTCTCTCCCTCCCACCATGGTGGAGTTGGCGGAGGGGGCCCCAAACTGCCTGGGGTTGATCCCCTGCCCCATCCAGGCCTGGCAGGATCTGTGGCTGACTTGCACCATAAAAATCTTGGACCATACTCTGGTGAGTGATTTGTTTTTTAGTTTTGTTTGTTTTTTTAACTTGTCGAACATAAGCTCACTCATGCCAGTGTTACCATGTATTTTTTATGTAGCACCAGAGGTTTAACTAGATAAGAAATCCTTACCCCTCGTCATGTTTCCCTTTTGTTCTCTTCCTGTGAGCAGGGCTTAGTTCTGGAGTCAACCTCCCAGGTCTGGACCTGGTGGGTGGACCTGGGGGCATGAAAGACTTAGGGGGTCAACAGTCCCGCTTCAAATGGATGATGGAGGGACACTCTTCTCCAGACACCTCCTCACCTGAGAACGCATTCCACAAAAATGGTGATTTCATTCATACAAATGTTGTCTTTGATAAGACAGGAAATGAAGGGGTGTTGTGGAAGATTAGTGTTAATGGGATTAGATGTGAAGGCACATATTAATATGATTAATGAACCAATCTGGTGTTCAGTGATGTAACATCCATTATCATCACCCTCCGGCAACCTTCCAGGTCCTGTCACCCCCATGAAGATGCCGGGGGGCTCGCCCTACTCTCAGTACGACATGATGGTTGATGGGCTGGGAGACAACTGGCATCGCACCCCTGGCAACAAGATGGGTACCAAGCCTCCCACCACACCCAGCTGGCCCCCTGGTAAGTTATAGTGATAAGTGATAACCTGAGCTAGAGGATCCCACAACGTTTAAAATAAGATACAAGGAGAAGAAATAATTTTTGTTTTCATATCCAGGAGATGAGAAATTTAGGAATATGTTCTCTCTAATTCTTAAAAATTGGTGTGTGCAGTTGATGTCTTATAACACTGGCTTCAACAGACCACATGTGTGTTTCCTCTTCAGAGTTCCAGCCTGGTGTGCCGTGGAAGGGAATCGACCGTGTCGACCCTGAATCTGACCCCTACATGACCCCAGGGAGCATGATGGGAAACGCGGTGTCCCCCAACCTCAATGATACTGAGCACCAGTTGTTACAAGATAATACTGGTAAGAATTTAACAGCTCCACTGCCTCATTTTCCGTACCATGGGGTGTGTGATGACACCACTTTAGTACAACAATATCTAGTAGTTAGCTTACCTTGTTATGTTATGCTTTGTCTTCTTGCAACATTTCTTGCCGTGCTGTACGGGGGAGGTGTTTATTTATTTATTTTATATCTTATTTTCATAATTGTGCTTGTGTTCACTTTGAATGTAGGTGAAATGTTAAAACATTAACAGGTGCAACCTGTAACCTTATCTGTGTCAGCTGCTTAAAGAAAACTAAACAATGTTTTTTTTTTAGCCAATAAACAAGTCTCTCTCCATAAACGTGTCTGTGTGTGTCTGTGTCTGTTTGTTGGAATGACTTAGTCATTCATGCATGAAAAAAATGGCTAATGCAGTTGGTGTGTGCCTTTGTTTGCAGATTCCACCCCTCCCCTCAACACCTTGCTGCCTTCACCTGGTGCCTGGCCCTACAGTGCCTCAGACAGTCCCCTCAACAACGCACACAACTCAGGTAACCACACACAAATGCTCAGTATCTCATTTATTGGCTGGTGTGTTGCTTTGTCTTTATTTCCGACTAGAGCTGGAACAATTAGATGATTAATTTCTCTGATTACTGTAAGATAAGATAAGAATTAATCACCAACTTAACAATTGATTTTTCTCAAACGTTCTCTTGTTCCAACTTCTTACTTATGAGGAATTAAAGAAAGATTGCTGCTTACTATCTATTCATAGTCCTAACAGTGAATTAAATGAGATACAAAATAATTGGCATTTTAATTGATAATTGAAATAATCATTAGTTGCAGCCCAATTTTGGATTGTCTCACGGATTATGATCTGTCTTGATGTATTTAGATATGTATTTATTTATGTAACTGAATCATTGAAGTCACGACCTACATGTAACTTGATAGCTTAGTTGTCATAATCTGAAGTCACTCACTGGAGACAGTCATTTTTCTAGGGATGGCTCAGTACCACTTTTTCATGTCTGGTACCGCAGCCTTGAGTATTTGCTGAAACTGTGTTTTTACCTCTCTTAAACAACTAAGCTGTAAATACATTTGTATGGATGCACTTTGCTTAACATAGCCACCTCAAAAACCTCATGCTCAAATGAAGGGAGAAATACATAGCTCACCACGTGACTCAGTTATGCAATACTGCTGCTGCTTCTTTTTTTAACGCACATCAACATTTTTGATTGGACACGTCCATTCAAACATCTCAGATCCAGTTGTTTTGGCCGGTATCGGACCAATAGTTAATATAAGATCGGCACATCCCTAAATTTCACTACAGTGACTTGACTTGGTTAAACCTGGGCCGCATTCACCATCTACAAAATGTGCTTTAACAAGCTGGAGAATTGTAATGCTGGAAAGGTGTATGTCTCATGCAGTTTTAAATAATTATGTTATTTTAATTGTCAAACTAGAAAGCCACTGTAGATATAGAGAATCTTTCAAGAGTAAGGCTCAGTGGATTTTCCCTCAGGCACATGGTGAGCTCTCTTGACCTTTTGTCATAACCACTGAGTCACTGATTGCTAGATGTTGGTATGATAGTAAACAACCCCTCCAGACCCTCATTCACTTTCCTGTTACCCTACAGCAAAGTACACAGACTACAAGACCAGCTGGCCCCCAGAGCCCATCGGACACAAGTCCTGGAAAGCCAGCCGTGGCAGCAGCCAGACTCAGCTGTCCCGCCCACCTCCAGGACTAGCCAGTCAAAAGCAGCCATCGCCTTCGCCTTGGACTGGAGGAGCCCCTCGATTGGCCAGCCGGGGCTGGGGCAGTGGCTCAAGCACTACTGGTAATGCCCCAATGCAGTTTTCATGTTGTTTTGGTTACAAGGCTGTCTCTTCGTCATTCAGGCACATTACTTGCTGAAATATTCAGCTGATTTAAATGTACATGGGAGATAAAACAACTGGCTCTGATTGCTGGGATACAACAGAGTCCATTTATATTTGATTTGGAAAAGCAGCCAAGCATTGGTGGAAGCAGCAGGGAAAGTTATTTATCATTTATTACATTTGAGAAGCCGGGGAGAAAAACAGAGTGGGATTGTGTTTACAGGGAATGTGGAAAACTCTCACTTTTTTTTTCCTTTTTGCTCTCTTTCTGCAGGCTCGACCTGGAGTGACGGCAGTTCTCGGGAAAGCTGCTGGTTGGTGCTCAGCAACCTCACACCACAGGTAAATACATGGACACATTTTACAAAAACTAAGTACATTTTTTAGTTTTGGTTGTTTTGATGTTCTTGGGATGTTCTTGGGAAGTGAACAAGCCAGCCTGGCTTGTTCACTCTCACTGCATGGGTGCACTGAGCACAAACAGGTACATAAACGTAATTCCACATGGAAACACTGCTCTGAATTTCATTCCTCAACCCATCACTCTTCCATTTGAGTTCACAATCGTCCATCTTGTATATTCCCGCAGATTGATGGCTCCACTCTGAGGACCATCTGCATGCAGCATGGCCCTCTGCTGACCTTTCACCTTGGCCTGACCCAGGGCACCGCTCTGATTCGCTATGGCTCAAAACAGGAGGCAGCCAAGGCCCAGAGTGCACTCCACATGTAAGACTCCGTCTGTTGTTTTGATAACATCTTTATAATGTCACTGTGATGTCTGTATGCTGACTGAAACCAGTAGTCGCTTAGCTTAGCGTAAGGGAGGTGGGATGGCTATCCTGGTTCTGTCCTTACGGGCAACAAAACCTGCATCTCTACCTACTAACAGCACTAAAGCTCACAAATTAAAATCATCATATCATATATTAAAATCATACCTCATTTGTAATTATTATTAATCTGTACAAAAACTGCCAACAATTTGCCGTTTTAGGGTTTTGTGTTATAATTTTTCCTGGGGAGTCTCTCCAAGTTGCCAAGCAACCAGGAGTGTCTCCAGGAAGTTACTGGTCCAGGCCAGGAAATACTCTGCCACTTAACCCCCTGTAAAACCATAAAGTGTTTTTTGTACACTCTGGTGTTTGTACGGATCAAACAAACAAGATATAACGTGTTAATTATTGAGCTTTAGGTGTGCTAGTTGGCATATTTTACACTGAGTTGAAGGAGACAACGTAATTAAAGTTTAAGTAAAAGTTTTACAGTATAAGTCATTAAGGGGGGGGGGGGGGGTTAAAACTATTTAAAAACATCATTTTAACAGTGCCTTTTTTTTTTTTTTCTTTACCAGGTGCGTTCTGGGTAACACCACCATCTTGGCAGAGTTCGTGAGTGAGGACGATGTGTCTCGCTACATTGCACATTCCCAGGCAGGAGGAGCAGGGAGCGGAGGAAACACAGCCGGCTCTGCAGGCTCTGGGCCTACAGCATCCTCCGCAGTTGGGTCTAACGGTAACGGTGGTAGCTGCGACAGAAGTGGAGCAGGAGGCAGCAGCGGGGGAGCAGGAGTAGAAGGAGGTTCCACAGTTGGAGGAGCAGGAAATGGAGGAGCCGGGCATTCCAGCTCCGGGTGGCAGAGTCTGGACAGCACAGGCAGCTCATCGGACCAGTCTGTCACCCAGGGGCCCGGGCTGGGCATCTTCGCCCAGTGGAGCAGCAATGGGACTGGGGTGGGTGGGGCTGGAGGTGTGGAGGCTGGAAGGCAGGGTCTGTGGGGGGGAATGGGTGGGATGAGCGGGGCGGGGTATCCCAGCAGTAGCCTCTGGGGTTCCCCAGCTCTTGAGGATCGTCACCAGATGGGCAGCCCCGCCTCACTGCTGCCAGGGGACCTGCTGGGCGGAGGGGCAGACTCCATTTGAGGGGCCGACTGACACACATACACACATATTTTACACCCAAGTTGTAATACATATGTCACACTCTGTATTTATTTACACGTAGAGATGACATTAATTAAAGCTACACTGGTCACTCAACAAGCATACTACACACAGGCTACATGCAGTACATGCACACATTATTTTCACACATACACATTAAGCCGCTTAACTTTAAATGAAGACAACAGTAAAACTTGAACCGGGGGAAAAAGGTGAAATCCATTAAACTCTTAGGACTCAACTGGATAGCTCTTTTGTCTTTTTACTCCAAATCCCACCATCTGCATTCAGAGACCCGATCACTCAGGCATGCACTGTAGACAGGCTCAGCCAGAGTCGTACATGTCAACAAGTTTAGCTATTGCTGTTTTTAGTGTGCCACAAATTTTTTTTTTTTTTGTATTACTATTTAATGGTCGAATCTCAAAATTCAGACTTGCAGACTGAGCCCTCGTAGACCTGCCTGGCGTACTTCTGAGTTCTCATGTTTGGAAGCTTGAGAGTGGGGAAGGATCTGGAGTTTGTAGAAATTTTGGGACAGCGCCACACTACTGAGTCATATGGACGATCAGCAACCTTTGAGGTCTGGAAAAGGAGAGCGTTTTTAGTAGGTACCGACACCTCTACCTTGGTGGAAATATGCCATCAACATGGGACCCAGGGTAAAAAATCAAAAAAATCAAAACAAAAACAACATTAGCCAAACTTGCACTATATGCCTCTGGGTTTGTTGTTGATACATCTCCACAAATCCCTCCATTTTTGAAACAGAGCTACAACACAACAACTACACAGACCTTACAGGACGACTAAGTGTTACAACAGCAGTGGCCTTGGCTAACACCCAGCGGCCGCCCGCCCGCCATGTCAGCATCACACCTTCTCATCAGTTACACACTGCTCTTATATTTGACAAGCAAAATTGTAACTCCTTGTTGATGTACGTTGGTTGTTTATCATTTTTTTTTTTCTGTTTTAAAAGAAAAGAGAAACGTGTGAAACTTTGTGGAAATCCAGAGATGTCCTTTTTTTTTTGCCCTTCAAACACTGACCTCGCTATTGTATTTTTTCTTACTCGAGAAATCAAGTTGGTTATTATATATTGTCATGATGTTAATGATGAATATGATCACTTATTTACTCGCTGTTCAAGGTGCCCTCCTGCCTGCCTGTGTGTGCATGAAAGGAGTGATGACAGTATGACCGAATGGAGGAGGATGTGATGAAGATAATAATGACGACGATATCGGGAGTGTCTGTGTTATTGCTACAATGTTGAATGTTTCTTTCTTTCTTGTCCATGAGAGATTCATGAGAAACCTTTTGTGTGGGTGGGTGCGTGCGTGTGCGTTTGTTCGTTCGCGTGTGTGTGTGTGTGTGTGCTTGCTTTTGAACACTTATCTGCTCCAGTCAGGGAAGTGAATAGATATTAATCTGACATCTTGCATTTGAGGGAGTGTGTGTGTGTGAGTGGATGTGTACACGTTTGCGTGCTTGACTGTGGATATTGTGATAGCTAAAAAGTTCAAAAACATTGGCACTATTGCATATGTCTCTTAAGTTGTGTTTTTTAGCAGCATTTTGTTCCTGTTTGTATTTTTTTTTTTCTGCCAAATGCAATAAGAGAATATTTTGTTTTTAAGACGAAGCAACCAACTGAAGGCATTTCTATCAAAAATGCCAAATCCTACCATACCAAGCTGAGCTGGAACAGTGTTTTACAGACACGTTAAAGACATTACCTGTTATATTTTACTGTTTTTGTTTCTTTTTTGTTATTATGTATCAATTTAAATTAAGTCAGTCTTTATTATCACTCCTGTTCAGGATGTTTTCGTTTATTTCAGATGTTACAAAAAGGAGAGGAAATTAATTTAAAGCGGAAAAGAACAAGATAATAAAGGTTGAATTGAAGTCTGCAGTGGTTTGTTTGATTTGTGTGACCAAGTCGTTAACAGTTGACCTATAAGACGTCAAAAATTCGCCACACATTTTCCTTTGCTTGTTTCAGGTTAAATGCCAACCATCTTATGAATTCACATGATCTTCCTGTGCATTGGGACTGTGAAGTCAATAGGACCGTCTAGCGACGTCTCATACGCAGTGAATGGAGCAGTGACTCGGTTGATTTGTGGTGTACTTCTCGCACCCGAAGAGATTCAGAATCTCTCCTCTATTGGTTTGAAATACTAGAAAAGTTCATTTTAAGGTGAAGGCCACAGTTCCTCTGATTCTGGAGCAGCTGCTAATATTTTATGAAGTGAAGTGATTATAAGGCAGAAAAGTAACTCAAGTTCCAGGTTTCCCTCTCATATACAGCAGGAGGAAACATTAATCGAAGTCCACAAACATTGACTCAAGACTGATTTTCTTTTAATCAGTTGTGATTCAAGCCCATAACCTTAACCAGCCGGGCTGATGGTTGATATTCTCTTTCTTTCTCTGAAAATTTGTAAAAGTTTGAAAACTATGTGCATGTGTTGTGGAAAAACACAAATAACACAAATGAAAACTAACTAACTGTCATACACTGTCGTATATGGTGTTTTTATATTGTTTCATAGGTGTTTTAAAAAAAATTATGGTCTATTTGTCAAATAGAAAATACTCATGCGCAGCATAGTTGTGTTTTCTTCAATATTTTGTTCCATAAATCATTTTCTGAGCTGTGCAGCGACAGGAGTTCTTACTGTAAAGTGGTGAGGAAAACACAACATGGAAATTCCTATTGACGATCTGTTAAAATATACAGTGGAAATATATTTTCTGGAGAATATTTTATGACAAGTTAAGCTAACTGTTAAACTTGGAAAGCTGTTTTTTGGTTGTACAGCAGGTTGCTAACATTTAGCCTGCATTAGCCTTCTCATAGCTTTGCAGGAATAATAAATGTTGGGAATAATGTCTTTAAGCGCTACCTTTTACTGACAAATAGCAGCAGGTTTAAGTCAAAAAGATGTTTTGTACAAGTTTAGCTAATTAAGGTTCCACTATGGTTCCTCTATTGTTAAGAGAGAGTAATAAATTACTACATAAACGCAACTTCCACACACTTTTCTTTGGCTTATTCCACATATTTTAAAAGAAACTCCTCGCTGTGTTACTGAAAATACTTATTTGAGTCATCCACATTAAGCAACAAAACATGATCACTTTTTATCAGTAGTTTTTGTTTTGGGGTCACAGTTGCTGAATAATACAAGAAGTCTGCAAAGTCCCCCTCCACTCATAAATATGTGTTTCTCTTCTTGTTCCTACAGTTGGATGTTTGATCTTCACTGTGCTGAATGATGTCTGTATAGAGTTTGACACTAGAAGGATGTTTTCACATTCAGATGCTGAAAGTGGAAGGTTTCTCTGAGCTCACTGAAAATCAGATTCAAGGGCCATTGATATATTTATTTTTAAGAGCATGATTAATGACCTCACAAATAGTTTGTCCTATTCTGGTCCAGTATGCAACTTACACAGTGTGATGTAGAAACTTGAAGCCTCTGGTGCACATACATACCCCTAGAATGGACTTTACAGTGAAGTAGAAGACATCCTAGTGAGAAGAAGTAGATGCCTTTTTAACAATTTTAATGCAGAAATTACACTTAAAACATATCAGACACACATTATTGTTCCAAGCTGACTATTTGTATATGTCTTAAAACATGTCTGGAGGGAATCTTCAACATATATATCACATAATTGTCAAATAGAAAACAAGATATTTGTAGGAACAACCACTAGAGGGTGTTGACACTTCTCCCAGACACAGGTACCCTATATTCACATTATGCATCCTATATGAGAACAAGCATACACAGAACACTGACCCACCCATGCTATCACTACCTCATTGTTCTACATTACACTCATTAATTCATTTGAGAGTGGGTGTATTGGTGTGAATGCATGCAGCTGCTTAAAGCGAGGGGCGTGAGTGCTGGGTGCGCTTCATTCATGCCTGCAAAAAGCAGCAGCAGCAGCAGCAGCGTCGGCGGCTTTAAGACAATCCGGGCATCTCTTCAAGTCTGTGGATGACATCATTGATATTGTCAATGGTGTAAACTGAGAGAGGGCTGGGTGGGGGTGTGTGAGGGGGGGAGAGAGAGCGAGGAGAAGCCACAGAAGACAGAGAGAAGGACCTCAGTGTCTGGTTTCCGCGTTTTTCCAACCCCAATTTTTTTTTTAAAGAAATCGTGACAGTGAGGATCCAGAGTCGCAGGGCTCCTGTCGGATCGGATCTGCTGTATTTTTTCTGTTGGGGGGCGGGGGGGTAGGAGGTGGTGTTTTTAGGGAGTACTTGGGGGGTCGGGAGGGGGGTGCTCTGGGTCACAGATCTCCGAGGTTATGAGCCGTCCGAAGCCGCGTCAGTGCGTCGCTGTCCAGGGTCCTGAGTGAGACAGAGCCAGCGGGGCGACCGCGGAGCCTGACACAACCCGGTGAGGAGGAGGTTGGGGTGGGTAGAGCGGGGGGTGTATGTTGGCTAGTCAAGGTGTCTGGAGGCTTGTGTGTGTGTGTGTGTGTGTGTGATGGTGTGTGTGTGATGGTGTGTGTGAGGTTAGACAAATAAGAGTCGTGTTTGTGCGGAGGGTGGAGGGTGGGGGGCGTTCAGAGGTCCTACCTGTACACGGAGGGTGCGGTTATGGGTAATATCAGCACATCTGATGGTCAGTGTGGGATGAACGGTGATTTTTTTTTTTTTTGCATTCACCACCTCCAACCGCCCCCCCCCCCTCCTCTCCTGGTATCTGGGGCAACTGCATGAAGTACTCTCTGTGAAAATACAACGTCTTGCCTGTTTTTGTGCAGTCCTATGCAGCAGCAGCGGGTCTCAGTTTTGTAACACTGGCAGTGTAGCAGCTCTAGGGGGCTGCGAGGGGGAGAGGAGCTGGAGAGACCTGAGGTAAAGGGTTTGGTAATGTGCAGCAGTGGCTTGCTCTGCCTTATTTTTCCCTGCACAGCCTATGTGGATTGGGGGGGGTTGCATGTAGGTCTACAGTGCAGCCAAGGCTAGAAAAATGAACTTAGTCAGCGTTGAGTGCAATGTCAAACTGGCTTGTGAAGCTCTAACCTCTGTTGGAAAATAAACCTTCAGTCATTTCCCACTTTTAAGTCCCTATTTCATGGCTGTTCAGACAGATAGGGGCTTGGGTGAGGGGAAACGTGACTCATTCAGATTTTTTGTCAGGGGACTCCAGTCAGAAATTGGGAATTTATGCAAATCTCTTGTACACACATAACTAGAGTCCCTTGAAGTGCTTTGGGAAAGAGTGTGTGAGATGCTGATCCAGCTCCCCCCCTGCAGCTCTGAATAAATCATGTTATACAAGTACACGCTCTGTTCTTCTTTGCTCTCACCTTTTCCCCATGCACTTCATAAACACTTCATTGGCCTACATTGTTGTCCTCTGAGATACCAGAATTTATTATCACCTCCTCTGTAGGTGTAATAACTCTAACTCAACAAAACATGGCTGATTGGAACCGGGTGGTTACATTAGATCCTGTGTGTTGAAAAATGTTTCGCTGCCACAGCGGGTTTAGTCACTTTACAGCTGGAAGTGAGCAACATTTTCCTTCCTAGTTCCAGTGATTCAACTCTGCACGCTGCACTACGTCACTGTTGTGGCTCAGTAATTTGCACTTTTCATTCTTTCTCATCTCTCCTGTTGATTTGTCCCAAGCTTCCAGTTTCGTCTTCTTTCATGACACAGCAGCCCCGGGGCTCGTAGCTTTGAGTTCAAAGTCTGCAGTTTTGCACCTCTATCCTTTTACTCTATTGATCACCGGTGATTGATGACAGCTTTGTGTATGTTTGTATCTGTGTGTGTGTGTGTGTGTGTGTTTACCCCTTCAGTGAGTTGAAAAACTCAGGAGCCATGGAGTTGAGGGTGGGGAACAAGTACCGCCTTGGGAGGAAGATAGGGAGCGGATCCTTTGGAGATATTTACCTCGGTGAGAATTTGGACTGTATTAACCTGACACTGAAGCAGTGGATATTACATATATTTATATATAATATATATATGTATATATATATATATATTGTGATCTGTGTTAAATTTCACAGGTCAAAAGACCTTTTTAATGTTTGGGAAATTATTGATATGTTGTAAGTACATCTCTGGTATTTCTCCCATCAGGTTCTAACATCGCTACAGGAGAGGAAGTAGCCATCAAACTGGAATGTGTGAAGACCAAACATCCACAGCTCCACATTGAGAGCAAATTCTACAAGATGATGCAGGGTGGAGGTAAGACGCACCAAGAAGAGTTTCAGGGTTTTGGAAAGCTTAACTAGGGGGCACCGAGAGGCAGGGAAGAGTTTAAGGGGTCGCTAACAGGTATTTATTGTTTCTGAGGGGTATAAACAATGATTACAGTTGTCTCAGAGGCATTGCGGTCCATTTAAAGACCTTTCAGGACGTTAAAGGGCAATTGAGGTGCTTTTAGGGACACCTAAAGGCAACTTTTGCTGGAATTAAGGAGCATTTAAGCTTTATGCTTTTTCAGTTTAGGGTTGTTGAGACATGTTAATAGTTATTCAGGAGCACTCCGGAGTAGTTATGGGAAAAAAGGAAATAAGATTAAAATATAAGCTATATACATTACAATACAACTATCTTATTATATATATTAGCTATACTATCACACTAGTTTCTCACCCCTGTGCTACTGTTCATTATTCTGTTTCCTAACCCTGTGATTCGCTCTTCTCCACTCCTGAACAGTGGGAATCCCGTCTATTAAGTGGTGTGGCGCGGAAGGCGACTATAACGTTATGGTAATGGAGCTGCTCGGCCCCAGTCTGGAGGACCTGTTCAACTTCTGCTCCCGCAAGTTCAGTCTCAAAACAGTCCTGCTGCTGGCCGACCAGATGGTGAGACAGACTCCGGTCAACGCTGTAAAACATAATAGTT